AGAAATTCATTTTTAAATAGTATTCGGTAACCTCTACTTGGGAGATAAAAATCGGCCGATTTTATTTTTTGGCCGGAAATCATCGGTCGTTTCTTAGGCGCAGGGCCTCTTAAACATTCCTCATTGGTGGTAGCCGCCTTTTTCATGATCCAGTTTTTATTTCTTCAAACCGACAGCCTCCTGTCCCGAGAGTATTGTGGAAAGGTATAACGTTACTAAAGTGTGCTACCCTCACTACTCCGCGAGCTGTGAGGACAAGACACCAATGTATCTCCCGAAATGGAAACAACCCCCATCTGATTTTTCCCCGTCCTTGTTCGACTCTTTATGTCCAAAGCCCTGGCGGTATCAGTCAGCTGATGACATGGGCAACTCACACAAGATGAGTCCACGAGCAGCATATGGAGGTGGTGGTTATGTGGCTGACTTGGGCTACGACCTGCAGGCAGCAATAAGGGTTGTGGAACAACTAAGTGAAAACAATTGGATCGATCGTCAAGCCCGAGTGGCAATCGTGGAATTCGGTATTTTCAACAGTAATATGAACATCCTGGCGGTAGCAAATTATTTCTTTGAGTTCCTACCTACTGGCGGTGTTTTCAGTCACGTCAAAGTGGAAATGTTAGAGCTGTATGGCACAGAGAGTAGTTTTCTTAAGCTTGTTCTGCTTTGTCGTCTTCTTCTTATCATCATGATCGTCGCTTACTGTGTCATAGAGACTGTAAAGATGTGCCGTCAAAGACGATCCTACTTCAGAAACGTTTGGAACTGGCTCGCCCTTGTTGTCATCGTCACATCTATGACAGCTGTGGTTTCTCACATTATGCGTGTGAAGACAACTACAGATACTGTTAAGGAACTACAGAAGAACCTTTATGCTACTGTCAGCTTCCATAAAGCTATAAGCTTGCTCGACATTGAAACAACGTTTTTATCTATTGTTATCTTCCTTGCGACTATCAAGCTGCTGAGTCTCCTGCGCTTCAGCAAGCAAATAATTTTCCTTTCCATAGCGGTTCGGTTCGCTGGGAGATACTTGGCCTCTTTCTCATTTGTGTTCTTTGTTATCTTCTGCTCGTTTGCTACTAGTGGCATGGTGGCATTTGGGGCTCTTGTAGAGTCATATTCCAGCTTTCCCCGAGTTTGCGTCTCCCAGTTTGAGTTTCTTCTCGGTAAGGCGGTGCCCAATTTTGAGATGGCTAAAGTTGACCCTCTTCTAGCCTTCCTGTTTTCAAGTCTTTACATTTGTTCCATGACACTCTTCTTTCTAAATGTGTTCATCGTTATTTTAAACGGTGCTCTGGAAGAGGTTAAAGATCACCTTGATGCTGTGACAGACGAACTCGACCTGGCTGATTTCATGACTCTCTATTTGTTTCAAGGCATTTCCAACATTTTCGGCAGGAAGAAACGCAAGAAGCAGAGACTTTATTGCGAAAACCTGACCTTTGAAGACGAATGCGCGTATGTGGAAAATTGTCTTGTTGAGATTGATCGCAGAATCTCCATATTGGCAGAAGACGCTCTGACGGCAGGGCGGGTTCGATTAAAGAAAGCTCGGTTGCGAAAGTCATCATCGTCCCAAACTAAAACTCCCTTAGTAAAAGACAAAACAGGCACCAGCAAAACAGAAAGAACCTCTCAATATATGGACCTACCCTTGGAAGAAGCTTCAAATGACGAAGAGGTGTCGACTTCCCTCAGTTCTGAAAATGAAGATCAAATAGTTTCATCTACCCGTGCAGTGCAAGGTATCTCCAATCCTTTGTACTCAAATCGGCTCCCTACGAGAACCGAAATGGACAACACTGATGAGGCTATAGATCGACCAATTACGTCCTCTGCAATTTATGTTGAAATTGAACACCAAGACACTCAAATGTAAAGCTAATGGAACCATGCTCAGTTGCTTTTGTGTCAAATGGTACGTTTCGTTCTTGAAAGGGAATTATTAGCTGTTATTTTTTAACTTTAAGTTTTTCACTTAAGCTGGAAAATTAACGTAAGTGAAGTTACATGACGTTTCGACAACTTCATGTCATCATTGTCGAATGCATAAATTACGAAATAACGGCAAGGCATGTAACGTTTGCTAATTTCATTTTCCCGCATCCTAAGTACTATAAATATGCCTTGCCGTTTTCTCTAGAATCAAGTTATCTTTTATCCCCGTGTGTTAATAGTACATGGGAGTGTTCATTACACAAATTATGTATTAGCTGGATAGATATAAAACGGTTCACTTTACTTAAGTGAGGGTCTCCCAGGGCTTTTGGGGAACAAGGAACATTGGCAAAATATCGAAGGGAACAAGGGACCATTAGCCATTTTTTGGGAACAGGGGAACAAAATTCGAAAAATTACGAAGGGGAACAAATAACGAAAATGTGTGGGAACATGGGAACATGGGGCAATTTTGGAAAGGAACAAGGGAACAAAGACCCCCTCCTGGGAGACCCTCTTAAGTGACGAAAAGTATTTGATTTTGCATAACTACGCTACACCATTGGCTTGAAAACTTCGCGCCATGCACTTTTTCACCCAATCAGAAGTGAGAAAAAAACCAGTCGTGACTGGCGCAACAAAATTCTTCAAGGTTAGGGAAAAGTCAGGGAATTTTATTGTGAGTCAGGGAAAATTGAAGTAATTCAACGCGGCTGATTTAATACCATTGCATGAAGACTAGAAGAAACATTTGGGGCTCACTCTGATCTCAAAGATAAATTTGTTGAAAACTTACCAGTCTTAATGAGTGGCTCAAAAGCACGGCTATAAGTTGAGAACAGAAGCCGCTACTATATCTGACATCGTATTTATTTGGTCAGGAAAATCTTATTTTTATCAGGCTAAAGGCAGGAAAAAGTCAGGGAATTTTGAAAAGTGATGCCTGTGGAAACCATTATTGAGCGCTACTCAGGCACTTCACGTGAGTAGGTGTTTAGAAACCCAACAACCACTTGATTATTTTACAACCAAGCGGACAAAGATGTTTTCTTATTTCTTAGTTAAGGCCATTGGAAAGTTATCATATAGTATTTCACAGTAGTCTGGGGTTGAAGTTTGAATATTACATAGTTTTAATATCTGATTAAAAACAAGTAAAGTTAGTTTAAATTTCAGTCCACTTCTGAGGGCATTTATTCACTTGCTCAATTGAAATACAATGTCGGCCATGTAATGAGCATAGTGGGTTTTGCATTTGAAGTGAGACATTTCGTAAGCCATGCTAGCTACGTCCTATGGGCAAACTAAAGGTTAAGCGTATGTGGTGTTCTAGTGAAATTCAGAGCTGACTTTTATAAAAAATCATTTTCGATTTCTCAGTTTGCCAAGTTCTCAAGTGTCCACTGCGGGTCTCACGATTGAACGAGACTTGCTGGCCGATATCACAGCAGTAAAAATCCGATCGAAATTTGTTGATCTGTATATCGCATTTTAATGTCAGCTATACAAAAAAAAAAACAAATTCGCACGCGGTAGAAAACTCCAGTGATGTTGATTACTCTTTAATCTAAACTTCCTATAACTGAATGAAAACAAAAATCTACGAAAGCAGTCATCATAAGGCTGCTTTTTCATTTATTTATCTTCTCAATTGGATTTTGCTCATATATTTAAATTGTGTCTCAAGTTCTCAAAATATTGGCAAAAATTTTACGACTTGTAATGTTCCTGAAATGTCGGGTTTTACACCCTGGAGTGCATACCTACTTCAATATAAGGGAGCAGTTGTTTAAGTATGAATTAAATATGATGTCAGCACAGCGGTCAAATAAATAAATGACATGTTCACCGTGAATAACTGATGACGTCCGGTTATTTGTACTGGAGTCGCCCTCTGTGCTTCTGGCGATTTCGTGGCCTTTTCGCTAATTCGTACCAGGTCATTGTATTTTCTAGGTAACCAGTCATTTGTATTTCCGTAATTAAGTCTTGCGGACTTTTTTTATCTCGGTTTTTTTTTCCTATTTTGTCCCGAAAATTTCGCGGTGGCAAATTTCTGGTCTGGCACTCGACGACTGGTTTGTGGGAGAAGATAACGAACGAAATTGCATTTTAAAGAGGCACAGAAGTCTCCACTAGAAACCCGCTTCAGTTTTGCGGCATCTGAGCTGAGAACAACCGAGCTAACTGTCGTGTCACTAAAAGTAAGTATCCTGTTATTTTAGTATTTTAACTTTTGTAATTGCTTTTAAACGTGATTCTCTTTTCTTTGCCAGTTAAGCACCCTTAGGGATGATATTACTTGCCCGTGGTTCAGTTTTAAGAATATGTATGCGGTGATGTCAATTTAGTGAAACTGGAAATTTCGTTGCATTAGTGGTAAGCTTTCAGAGGTAAAATTCGGTTATTTGAAGCATAACAACCCCATACCTTTCTACTCGTTTAAGATCTATACCTCACCACTCCACGAACCAAGAAAGGTTCGATCAAGTGTCCTCGTACCTTTCTTTGTTTATTGTCTTATTTTTCCGCGAAATCTCTCCAAAATTACAGGCCAATGGGACGCTCAAAGTCACGGAGTCGGAAGTCTTCCTTTGTTTTACCGTTTCGTGATAAACATTAAGCCACACACACCTGAACAAACATGTCGCCAAATCGCCATTTACACCGTAAGTCGTGACTGTCCTATCATGCATGGAGCGATTGTTGCCTTGACTTGGCTCCAAATGATTTCGATTATGCTTAGTAAAACACCATGCGGATGTTATGATGAGGTGAGTTTTTGAATATCCAATAAAATTCCCTTCATTGTGCTCAAAAAAGGAACGGCTGCTAAAACAGTACTGACAAACACGAACAAATTAACATCAACCTCTGAGACTCCTTTTTATTGCCATGTTAATCACACTGCCCTCGCGCCAGGATGTAATGTAAAACTTCAACATTTAGAAAATTGTACTTAAATGAAAGTCTGTTTTCTTTTCTTATAATAATGATTGTACTTTTGAGCATTGTCTTATTTTGTGTAACATCCTATATCTTGGTGCGTGAGTTGATTAAAATTTGCACAACTGGGTTTTTACTATAGAATTCCACTATCTGATAATTCATCGTTTACGATTACATAAAATTTATGATCTTTCGATCTTAGTCATCGAGAAAGCATCCAGCGCCAAAAATCGCCCGAATCAATTCAAGCACTTCGTTTTATCTAAGTAATGGAGATATGATCTCCGTGGGCTGAATGTGGTCTTTTATGACGAAAGCTGGAAAGTGGATCTTCGCAAAGTAAGTGAAAGCGTGGTTTTCTACGGACATGTCACTCAAGATGTCACAGCTAAAAGACCACTAAAACTTTAATTTGTGGAGAATGTTATTCAAGTCCTTACTTAATTTGGCCGCGGCCAATGGGTATGAAATAGCCTGTCTTGGATAAGTAACAAAGACGATTCGTGTCTTTTAGAAAAGCTTGCGAAATGTCGTCTTTTAAATTATTGTGGGGTGTAATTAGACGAAACAGATGGTGCAGGGCAAAAAATTATTGGATTTGATAGCGGGTAGTTTTAAAGTTTTTAATCGTTTTTTTGTTTTTTATTTTTTCATTTAAAAGTTGAATGAAGAACCGGAGGCAAATTGTTGAATCGAACTTGAGTGAATGCTAGGTTGTGTGGCATTTGAACTACCAGTTGTCAGCCTTTAATTTTCACATGAATAGCTGTTCGAAATAGCACGCCAAGCATTAAAGTTAAATTAGCAGGAAAATTAATTTCTCGGCGTATTTCATCATCGTTACGAACAAATACTAAGTCTCTCATTTTCCTCAAAATGCAGCGGAGAAAAATCTACAAATACATCAACACCCTCTTTAGAGCTGTCAATTGCCGTTCAAAAAACAAACCTTAATGATGAAGCTATCAAGCTTTCTGCATTACCGATCATTTCCAAAGATTTGGTCAAGCTGGTTTTATGGAACAGTATTATCGGGACTTTTTGTCGAGTTTCTTCAAACTAAAGTGACATCTGATTCTGAGTTCGAAGTCGGAATTACAAAACAGTTAGAATGGAATGGACTACACTGCATTATGATGGACAAATAGTGAGATTCCGCTTGCGAAATTCGGCAAATATTGCAGACTTTCAACACCTTGAGTAACTCAACACCGAAAGATACGACTTAGCGAAAACATTTAAAATAGAAAAACGATTGTTTATTATATGGCTACAATGCTCCGTGAGCGGGCAAGATGAATCAAATCCTGCGCTGTGATTGGCTACCCGAGCCTATCTTGCCCGCTCGGGACTACCCGCCGAGTCCCGCAAGATTATTTTCCCCGAAAGCCATATAATAAATCCTTTATTGACCAACCTTGTTCGGTAAAGATGGCCGGATATTGGCTTCGTTCTTTTTTTTGCGAGTTTATGGACCTCGACTCCGTCTGGGTCCATAAACACGCAAAAAAAGAAGTTGGCCGATATCCAGCCATCTTGACCTCACACTTGGTCAATAACCCATACATCCTGTTCTGATTTTGACGGCTGAGACTTAAAGAAAATCTTCTTTGAAAAAGTAGTTGATTTCATTCTATTTTACACACGCTTGGTCATTTTTGTCTTAGTTTTACTTTTAATGCAAATATCTTGGTTCACTTCACCAACAGTTTCGATTAACATGGCAAACATGGCAAGATTCGGCAGGTTGTATTGACATTTCGCAGCAAATATGTCTGTTTGCAAGGATATGACGTCAAAGAATGACATGCAAACAAATTTTATGAACGTGGGTAGTCGCTGAGGTTCTCATACTGTTTTCAATCACTCAGACTCTGTAATTTAGAAATTTTCGTTTGTTTTGTCCCACAGTGAACAGTCATTTCCCTGTGAAATTATTTACTATACTAAATTACCTGCAACAGCAAATAATATCGAACGTTTAGAAAGTAAAACGAGTTAAACATATAAACGCAATGAAAACTTGAGTTCAACATTAGGGTTGTAAAGCCATAAAAAAAAAGACAGAAACGAAGCTTGCGGCAAAAATGCACTGATTACAATATTATAAAGAAAGAAAGGGTCAATGTAATTTCTAGTTTGGCCTCAGCGTTACTGCAATTATATTCTGGCAATGCAGTAATTTTCCAAAAGGAGGTTTCATTGTTTCGCTCTCTTTTAAGAACAACAGTTGTCTGAGCACACGCATAAGAAGATATCAGGAAATTTGCATTATCATGGCACCTGTCATTCCCTAACTTCTCACATTGTGACCGACATCGCCGTGACTGCCGTCGTTTACATAACCATTTAATTTATTATCATTCACAACCAAAAATTCTGTCCATGCATATGAACAGTTCAAGTAGCACACAACGCGCGCGGCTCCTTTCGTTCCGCGTTCTCAGTGCCACGTTTGGAAATTGATGTTTTATTTATCTTCTTGTTTCGTTTACACGATTCGAGTAAACCTATGCCCAGCTAAACTGAAGCAGTTTGTTTTTCGAAAGTGGTGGAGAGGGGGTGTTTTGTAATTCAACTCTTAAGTAAACGCTTTGCGTCAGAGATTGATCATTTCATTCGACTTCCTCAGAAACGAAACTCCAGTGAAACCGAACGAACCGGATGCCGTTCAGCGCTAGAAAATAACCATCACGAGACTTCAACACTGTTCAGCTTATCAAAAACTGCTCTGTTTCTAGATCCTTTAGCACTGATGTACCACGTAAGTATAAGTTAAACTGCTGAGATCTTTAATCATTAAAACCTTCAAACTAGTACGAAATATCATGAAAGCTATCTTGTCAGAAACCACCCAACACAGACAATGCGGTGGTAGTGTTAATTGGTTGAGGAAACTGTCCTCTTGTGAAATTAAGTCTCTTAATTGTAGTGATTTTGTAGACCAGTTTGAATTTATAAGGAGACTATTGTAAGCAGGGCTACGTGTTGTCTTTTTAAAACACTATCGACAATGTCATTGAGAATAAATCTTAGCGACCATTATTCACCTGTAAGGTGGGTAGAACTAAAACCATTAGCGGTCCAATTTTTAGTCAACCATGACATTGTTTCGCTTATCTTTCAGACTCTGTTGTACCAATTAAGACTGCGATGAATCTTATGTAATTTTACACTGGCTCAAGGCGAAGACATCCGATCCAAGAGAGAGTTGAATCGGCTGAGCACCTGTCATCACAACTTACAGAATATTTCGCAAAACGATACGCCTCATTTCCATTTATTGATGAAATATAGTGCCTTTCGCGCCATTGTAATTATTTCGCTGCTGTGATCTCACAGTGGAAGTAATTATTTAGCTTGCCTGTTAATATAAAAACCTCCAGGCCATCATATATTGTCTCAGGAGTTTTTTTCCTGGCAGCTGAACTAAATATAATACTGGAAGAAAAACACTTTTTCGCGATAATCTCCTTCGTTTAACCACAACAGAAGAGAGTTTACATCTGGCGTTGTGTCACGTTGTGGACACGTAGTGACGAGAAAATTATTGGACTGACACTTTTGGCTTCAGCCATGTTTAACAATACTACTGAAGACCTGTCAGGCGACATCCTGCCAGAGTTACACACCTACCGCCATATTGAGCTGGCGTCCGCGATTGTCCTGTGTGTTCTGTCACCGGTTACTGTGATATCGAACGCTCTGCTTTTGACGGCGATATATAAGGATCCTTTGAGGTGTTTCCGTACTCCAATGACCTTCTTTATTGCGGGTCTTGCCGTGGCTGACTTCCTCATTGGATTGACGGTTGAACCGTTTTTTGCCGCTTATTACTTTAGGGAGAGGCCCAGCGAGAGTTTCAGGTTAATTCACAGAATAGGAGGCATCATCTCCACAGTTGCAATTAGCTTGTCTTTCTTCGTTGTATTGGCGCTGTCGGTGTGTCAGTACATTGCGGTAACGTACCCACACCAATTCAAAGAAATTGTGTCTAGAAATCGAGTTTTATCCTTCCTCACTGTTAGCTGCGTGTACCTCACGAGTTTCTGTATGTTGCAGTTTACAGGAATGAACATGAGCACGTTCTTAAAGATGGACCTTATCATTCACCCCACATTGTTTTCACTCATTCTAATAATAGTCCAGGTCCTACTTTACACCTCGTTCAACCGGCATCTACAACAAAGCAACACGCTTCGCAGAAAAGCATCCTTAAACCAGTCGCTGCAGAAAGTGAACTCGTACAAGAGGAGACACAATGAACGCCAGTTCACCGTCATGACATTTTATCTCACAGCCATCTTGCTAGCTTCGGCTTCTCTGCACAATGTGGTCCTGTATATTTATCTCTTTAGGAAGCCAAAAAACAAGGTCGAAAATGTCAACATCCACATTGGACTTCGCATCAGTGATCTAATGCTCTTTATTAAGGTCGCTTTAGACGTGTTTATCTATGCATGGAGACTTCCTTCTTATCGTAGAGCTCTCAGGTACACGCTATTTGATCGTCGATCCATGTCGCGACCGTCTTCCACACTGCGGAAAACCAGTGGTGGTATTACAGGCATGCAAGGGATTGGTCGAAGAGAGCCTGGAACAGAACATACATCAACAGTATAACTTTGACACTGAACTTTTTGTGTGGGCTTACAAAAATTGCAACCCAAAGTTTGGGTAAAGATTACCCGGAAATTTAAACTGAAAGGTTTTTCCTTTGTAAGTTATTGGGAGCCCAAGAATTATAGGAAGTGAAATTCAGCGTCTCACTTCCTGGGCTTTTTCCTAGACGATTTTCAAATTTCGGGGAGAAAGGCCTGAAAACGAGTGATACTTACAAGACAGTGGTAGCCACAGCGACTAAAGATGCGTATTTCCTTTGTACAAAGAACACAGTCTAGTAAATGACAGGGAAATCGCTGTGTTGTAAAGCAATTTGAGTCAATAAGATCATCTCATACTAAAATTGAACAAGAGAAAATAAATATTTGTTAAATCCGATCGGATTTTTGCCTTGTCCCTTTTTTTCCGTCACATGCAAATTAGTGAAAGACACCAAAAATATCGTCCCATTGCGACATGTCGTAGACAAATTGGCTGCTTTGTGGTCTTTGTAGTATAATAAAATTATTGGATTTACCAGAAAAGTCAAAATTAAAATCATGTGGTTTATTTATTTAAAGTTTATATTTATCAAGAGAATTATCTGGCAATTTTTTTTTTAAGATGTTATGGACCCACCAGCGAGATTTTCAGCAGAGATATACTAAATAAAATGACCGCTCTTTCTTCTGGAAGTCAAAGCTCTATTATATGAATTTCATCTCTCCGTTAAATAAAATATCGGTTTCCATTTGTGAACTGAGTAGCTTGAGTTCAGACGTCTACGATTTTTTTTTTTTTTTTTCACTTTTTACGCGCGAAAAGTAACCTGCGATTCGGTCTTTTTGGGTGAACGGGAAGGGCCAAAAAAAGAACGCCTGATCGCAGCTTATACGCGAACGGAAAAAGTAGACGTCAGCACGTCTCTGATCTCTCCCGCACCATAATGAAGAGGGCTCCAAAAACAGGTAGCAAGCAAAACCCAGCGGGTACACATTGGATCGGTGATTGATTCATCAATTCGGCCGAAGTTCTTCACGAAAGATTAAGCAAAGCCGGCACAACTTGATCACAACCGGTCACCATTATGTATAGAGCAAGTTACAGAATTTTGATACGAAGGTGTTTTAAAGAGTGATTATTGTGAAATAAAGTGTAATGCACACAATTTCCCTAATGCGGAGAGAGCTAGTGAAGATTTTAGTCCCGATAAGATGATAGTCGTATTATATTGTATTAAGACGGCGGTTTTGCAGAAAGACCACTCGAAAATGGATCGATCATATATTTCCTTGTCAGGATAAAGGAAGTTTTATCTTATTCAGTGGTGATGAGATGAAAAACAGTTCCTTTGCTTCTACAGATGAACTTAAGTCTGGTAAAACGCTCACAACATTTTAAACCACGGAGTACACTCCCTATAGCAGACTACCGGGGTTGTTCCACCCTCCACCCTTTTCACCTGAAGTATCTGAAACGATATGGGATTTCTCGCACTGAAGAAATTCAGAAGAGAAAAGGAAACTGTCTCAATTAAGAATTTAAGAGTGCCATTCAAGATATTTCGAACAAACAGACCTAACTGCCGATTTACCAAAGAAATTTTAGGAATTATGCAATCCAAGAGTATGGAATGGATGCAGCGTGTATAAAGGTACTTGAAAGTCGCACCATTTTACGTCAAGGATATACGAAAAAAAATTATCTTTTCTCTCAAAACTGGTATACTAACTGGTAAGGGTCTAGACCTCGTGGCGGAGCCTCACCGTGTCGAACTCTGTTCGAAAAGAAATGAAAGACACCAAAAATATCGTCTGATTGCGACATGTCGTAGACAAATTGGCTGCTTTGTGGTCTTTGTAGTATAATAAAATTATTGGATTTACCAGAAAAGTCAAAATTAAAATCATGTGGTTTACTTATTTTAAGTTTATATTTATCAAGAGAATCATCTGGCAAAATATATTTTTTAAGATGTTATGGATCCACGCCAGCGAGATTTTCAGCAGAGATATACTAAATAAAATGACCGCTCTTTCTTCTGGAAGTCAAAGCTCTATTATACGTTGGGTAGCCTTCCTCTCAAGATTTCAACATAACTTAATAATAAAATTATGGTAACATTGCTGGGCCAACATATTGCACGCGTTTGGATCCGCGCGGATCCAGATCTTGAACTAAGGGGGCGGGGGTGAGGGGAAGGGGCGGTTTTGTTTTGTTTGCCCTGCCGGCTTTTCTTCCTTCTGTGATTTTTTCTTTTTTTACCCAAAATAGGCGGGGGGAGGGGGGTGCGGACCGGCCTAGGCGCACCTTACTGCGCCTGCGTAAGATTGCTTATGCTTATGCTGATGCAGAAGTGAAAACTAGCCTTTGATAAAAAGAAAAAAGTAAGCTTAAAACGATGGCTGGCCGATTATTCATTAGTTCTCATTGCTTTTGCCATGCATCTAAATTTTACAACAATTACAAATATACCTAAAATACCCGTTTTGAGTAAATTGGGCTAGACACCGGTTGGTTAAATATTTCTTGGTTGCACAATCCAGAATGCAATTTAAACGAGAAGGCGGCATCCTTACATCGTTTTTAAATTAATAGATATGTTTACGTTTGTCGCTTCCGAAAAGACGCATTTGCTTTATTTCAGTTGATGAACAGCAAACGTTGTTACTGTTGTTGATGAACGCGGTATTGTACGGTACAATAAAATATTGCTCAAAAACATATTAATTAAGCAAAAGTAATATAACCAATACCGCTTTGTAAGCATTTTTGTGTGGTATGATTATTTTAGTTATTTTAGAGTTTTTGTTTGTAAAATATATATTTACACATTTATTCTCAAGTTCTACGGATTTTGAATATCAAAAAGAACTTGACGATATTGAAGACTTGTAGAATTGAGAATATTAAAATAACAGTTCTAATGCACGATTCCTATATGCGGTAGACATACATAATTTCCTTAGTTAAGGTGGTCGAACACAGTTTTCGCGCGCGCTTTT